TGGGGATAGAACATAAGGCACAATCCTGAACTGACAGGGTGGATTGACAGTGTGACAGGTTTTTTCCATCTGTAGGATTCTGTGAGACTGTTATAAGTCTGACAGGAATGAAAGTTACATGTTGTGGAAGAAATAGTACCCAGCTTTCCTAACTTGCTGGGGTAGTGGCTGATAGTTTAAGCAGAGCAACAGAGATGTGAAGAAATAGAAAACAAAGAAGACAATGTTAGAGACTGAAGATGGGGAGCTATGAAGCATTACTGGCCAGTAGGCACAGGTTATTCTCTTTTCCTGGTGTGCCATGAATCAGCCTCCCCTCTTCATTTAGAGTCTCCCTGCTGCTGAATTGGAGTGGGCAAAGCACGCATTTCTATGCGAATGGTTTCTATAGATTGTGGGCGGGAATGGGAGGGGTGGGGAGCTGCAGGCGAACCACTGCAGTAGAGGAGAATAGGCCAGCCATCTGCACCTGAAGATAGTGGAGAGATGAAGCCAACTGACTTCTCTGAAATATGTGGGGTGGAGAGACTGCCCCCCACAGAAGATAACAGTGGCCGTAGTACTTTCTGGGGCAGAAGAGGATATTCCCTAGCTTATAGTTTTGTCTGTCTTTGAGTTTTAGGAGTTGCAGCCTAAAAGTAAAAGCAAGAAGTAGGGGTTACAAATCCCCACGCATCCAAAACGAATAAAATATTCACGTGAACCCCTGTGAAAAGAAGCTGCTGAACTTCCCACAACTCTAAAAGGCACAAAGGAGAGACATAGGCTGGAAAAATGAACTCAACATAGAAAATGATATAGAGAAGAATCAGAAAGAATACAGATAAGAGTCAAGATAAGGAAAATGAACTTACTTAAAGTACATCAGCTGACAGGCATACATACACTGTGTGACACAGATCACACCCATTCCACCTTAAAAGCCTTTGGGTGTTAGCTGATCAATGTCATACAGATGCTACTCAGCAAAACCTCCAAAACATTAAGGGATGATCGAGAGTACAGTACATTGCACTATAGCTGAGTAGGGTGAGATATTGCTCAGTGTGTTATCTATCCAGGACAAAGTCCTAGAAACATTCTGGTGAACTAAGAGTGAGATTTGCACTAGCATGACCTGAATATCCAGATAGTCAAATACACACGCTTTCTCTTGTTTAGAATTCAAATTGATGTGTTTTAGTTGCCAGCTCACACAGGCCAGTTAGTGAGATATAAAAGTATAAATGGTACTATTGCTTCAGGCAAACAGGAAATGACAATCACTGTTACTAGAAAATTACCTATGCAAACAGCACAAGTGTAAGAATGAAGTATGGCCAGTGTAACTTACAGTACTGATCAAGAAAAGGTAATTAGATTTATTATAATCGACACAGCTTGCCATGATGTCAAGTAACTTTTGTTTTAATCTTCCAAGTGTGAAAGAGAAGCAGCTGAAAATTAATGCAAAATTTCATTTCAGAGAATTGCGCAGGGAGCAGGCCAAATTCTCTCACATATACATCTGCAACACCACTGACTTCAGTGGGTTTGTAGTGATGCAGCTGAAAGCAGAATGTTAGCCGAGGAACTTAGGAGGGTTAAAATCCAATGCCAAGGACCATGTTCAGGGCTCAATCCTACAAAGTGCTGATCAGTTTGATCTCAATCCAGCAAAGCACTTAAACACATGTTTTTTCAATAGCAAACATAAAGTTAAAAAAAGGGATGCTTCATTTCCCCCCCATGCTATTGCCACATTCTTCAGTTCATCAGGACAGCCAAGGTCACAATTAAAGAGATTCCACCAACTTGAAAAGAAAATTAACTCAGAAGCCCTAGGAAACTACATCAAGGCCCATCTTATTTGCCTTGATAAAATAAAGGCTGAGAGATGTTCACTTGCAGTTAACCTATGAACCATGCCTGACTGATCATGGCAATAGTTTTTAAGCATTATTGCCAATAACAGTCAATGCGGAGTTTGGTATGACATGATACAACCATAAGATCTTTCTGTCTCTTATTGATAAGCAACAGCAATTTGCTAACAAGAGGTAATGATGTTCTTTCATTAAGAGCTTTTTCTTTTTTCCTCTAAATAGCTGATATCAGTGAAACCAAGAGGTACCTGCATAGAAGTGAGTCTAGTTTCTGAGGCTCAGATCAGGTATTTAGGAACCTAACTTCCTTGATTTCAATGGGAGTTAGGCATCCTAGCACCTTGGAGGATCTAGGCCTAAGTCTTCTGATAGACAAGAGGGTACCAAGATGCTTGTCAAGTCTTTGGGCCAAAGTAAGATGTGCTGTTTAAAGTAGTGTAAGTGTATTTGCTTACACTCAAACTCCCATGTGCATGGGTGCTGACTCTGTGGGTGCTCCGGGGCTGAAGCACCCACAGGGAAAAAGCAGTGGGTGCTGAAAACCCACGGGCAACCACCCTATCAGCTCCCTTCTTCACCCCAGTGCCTCTTGCCTGCTAGTAGGCCCCACAAATTAGCACTTCCTCCTTTCTCCCCATGCCTCCCACCTGCTGCGATCAGCTGTTTCGTGGCATGCAGGAGGCTCTGGGGGGAGGAGTGAGGGTGCGGCAGGCTTGAGGGAGGTGCAGAATGGGGCAGGAAGAGGCAGGGTGGGGGCGGGGGCTTGGGCGAAGGGGCAGGAAGAGGTGGGTGGAGGCGGGGTTTGGGGGAAGCGGTGGGGTGGGGACAGAGCCTGGGGCAGAGCCGGGGGTCAAGCACCTCCTGGCACATTGGAAAGTCGGCTCCTGTGCCCATATGCTCAGTTAGTATAGAACTACTTCCAATTAGTGTAGATCCTATAAGCTATTTACAACCACATACCAATATGTAAATGAGCATAAGGAAGACTAAGAGGCTGTAACTGACATACCAAGGAGCTAAAAGAAGGATTTTACAGAGAGCTAGGAGCATCTTTACTTTGCACAGTCTTATACCTTATTAGTTGCTTTTCTGGACACATTCTTCTTTTTGGGCCCTCTACAACAATTTTAGCTTGATTAGACTCACCTTTGAACTTGGGCCTTTGTATTTTTGTGTAGTGCACACATAGGAAGTAAGCATCACATCAGGAAGTGGTCAAACTATTATGTTACAATTGAGTTGCAAAATATTAACTAGAACAGAAGCCTACTGAACAAGTTGCTGATCTGTCTTGTGATATGGCTTGTTTGGTCTGTCTAGAAAACTTCGCTTGAAAGATGTTGACACAAAGTATTCAGCCTAGCTGAAGACCAAACAACATAGTTAGCATGGAACTAATATTTTTTGCATTAACCCCCCAGTGAAAGTATTTTATCCTGATCCTCATTGCTTGTTTTTGTAGACATTTTTTCACATGGGTTGAAGAGCTTTGAAAGGACATTGGTGCATACATAGTAAAAGAGGCACTTTTGAAAGCACATAGGTGCCTAACTCCGACTGAAATTGTCAAGGTTCCTCCCCCACGCTGAACTCTAGGGTACAGATGTGGGGTCCTGCATGAAAAACCTCCTAAGCTTATCTTTACCAGCTTAGGTCAAAACTTCCCCAAGGTACAAAATATTCCACCCTTTGTCCTTGGATTGGCCGCTACCACCACCAAACTAATACTGGTTACTGGGGAAGAGCTGTTTGGACACGTCTTTCCCCACAAAATACTTCCCAAAACCTTGCACCCCACTTCCTGGACAAGGTTTGGTAAAAAGCCTCACCAATTTGCCTAGGTGACTACAGACCCAGACCCTTGGATCTTAAGAACAATGAACAATCCTCCCAATACTTGCACCCCCGCTTTCCTGGGAAATGTTGGATAAAAAGCCTCACCAATTTGCATAGGTGACCACAGACCCAAACCCTTGGGTCTGAGAACAATGAAAAAGCATTCAGTTTTCTTACAAGAAGACTTTTAATAAAAATAGAAGTAAATAGAAATAAAGAAATCCCCCCTGTAAAATCAGGATGGTAGATACCTTACAGGGTAATTAGATTCAAAAACATAGAGAACCCCTCTAGGCAAAACCTTAAGTTACAAAAAAGATACACAGACAGAAATAGTTATTCTATTCAGCACAGTTCTTTTCTCAGCCATTTAAAGAAATCATAATCTAACACATACCTAGCTAGATTACTTACTAAAAGTTCTAAGACTCCATTCCTGGTCTATCCCCGGCAAAGACAGAATATAGACAGACACACAGACCCTTTGTTTCTCTCCCTCCTCCCAGCTTTTGAAAGTATCTTGTCTCCTCATTGGTCATTTTGGTCAGGTGCCAGCGAGATTACCTTTAGCTTCTTAACCCTTTACAGGTGAGAGGAGCTTTCCCCTGGCCAGGAGGGATTTCAAAGGGGTTTACCCTTTCCTTTATATTTATGACAGAAATCAATGGGAGTTGGTGCCTAGATACCTTTGAAAATCCCAATAGACACCTATCTCTGTCTTTTAAATCTCTTTAAAAATCTGTCCATTAGGAGCCTAAGTTTCTTTGGCTTTCAGTGAGACCTAGGGTCCTCAGTGCACGGGTCATTTTTGAAAATAGCTTACTGTATTTTTAGACTCCAAGATTTTAAGGGGAGGGATTATCCCTTTCTATGTATCCATAAAGCACCTAGCATATTTTGCGTGCTACCTTAGTATAAACAAACAAATATTATTACTAGTTAAATCAATTCCCCTCAAGCTAGAGCCAGAGAAAAAAGCTAGGCCTTTTAGTTTCTAGACTTTTCTCTGCCCAGGGGATTCCTGGCTTTTGCAGATGTGATGTGAATGGTATGGTACATGCACCTATTCTTCTGTTTATCCTTCCTCTTTTCTTTAAATTACTACATGGTTCTGTCTTTCTAACCCTCTCCCAGTGTAGAGAGGAATGGAGTTTTCTTCCCACCTGTTCCCTAGGGGCATTTCAGATGACAGAGTGGTTCATTGTAGCCACAGCTCAGCAAAAGCTAATAGGAAAAGTTAGCATTTCCCAGTGAAAAGAGAAAGCCCCATATTCATTTGTATTTCTCCTTTTTTTTCAGCCCATGGATGGAGAAACTACTGTACTTGGTGAGGAAATAGCAGTGGCTTCTTCTCCCCATCTTGATTCAGAGAATCTGGAGCTGGTCTTCAGCCACTCTCTAAAAATGACTGGGATTAGGTGAGAACCAACCCAGCTGTAGCTTGTGTGAAGAGTAACAGGTACAGCAACAGCCAACCAAGTGGACCCGAGAGGGCTCGGGAAGTCTGCTGCATAAAACAGACTTATAGCAACAACCTAGGGTCCATCTCAAGCAGGAAAAAGGACAGGTTGTGGGGAAAGTACCAGTAAAGCCTTAGGAGCTGAAGTTACAGCTGTTACCTGTTACACAAGCAAGCAGCAAAAATCTGAAGTAACTGTACTGAAATCAGTGGTGTTATTGCAGATTTACACTGGTGTACAGAGATCAGACTCTGGTCCTGGTTATACTCTGAATTGCGGAAAGCTATAATCCGTCATTATTGTATTTTCCTGTTCATGAATGTTTGCCTTGTATACCTCACCTCGACTTGCTCCGAGCTATCTCTTTGCAAGCTTCCCCCATTGTCTTGCCTGGTAACGCTGACTGCTTACCCATTCTTCTCTGATTGCACAAGTTCCTTGTGCTGACCATGCAGGAAGGGTTTCCTGAGGTAGTGTTTCCTGATGACTTCTTGACTAACTTGTGAGGAAAATCAGCCTAGAGAGTGTGAGGATGACTCTTCCTTTTTTTTAAATCTTTTTAAAAATTCTCCCTTTCTACTATTTTTGTTCTTCAAAAAACTAATCATGATAGAAATGTGTTTTCTTTTAAAGGCTGCAAATTTGGGTTCTCCCTTTTTTGAGGAGAGAGTAATATACATCAAAAACCCCCATTTGTTTTCTGCTGGGCTGATATTCGCCTTTTAAAAAGTTTTATTTGCCAATGTTCAGCATCTTGTGTTTTTGGGGGTTTTTATTATTAATTAATTAATTATTAGTATTATTATTATTATTTGAACAAGGGTTTTGATTATTAGAAATATGGATAGTTAGGTTTGTGATGACCGGGAGAAACACATTGTGAATTGCTTGGTGGGTGTGAAGGTTGTGGAGCTCTCGAGACATCTAAACAAACTTATGTGCTGTGCCGGGGGCGGAGCCAGTGGATGTGGTACATATAGGTCCCAGTGACATAGGGAAAAGTAGGAGAGAGGTCCTGGAGGCCAAATTTAGGTGGCTAGGTAAGAGATTAAAGTTTTAGGACCTCCATGATAGCATTAACTGAAATGGTTCCAGTTCCAGGTGCAGGACCAGTTAGACAGGCAGAACTGCAGGGTCTCAATTTGTGGATGAGATGATGGTGTAGGGAGGAGGGCTTTAGATTTATTAGGAACTAAAGAACCTTTTGGGAAAGAAGGAGACTATACAGGAAGGTTGGGGTCCACTTAAACCAAAACAGAACCAGATTGCTGGCATGTAAAATTAAAAAAGTTTGTAGAAGAGTTATTTAACTAAGGGCTGGAGGAAAGCTGACAGGTGCAGAGGAGCACATGGGGAGGATCTATTAATGGGGATTCTCTGTATCCTAAACAGGAGAGGATAGAAGCAGATAAAGTACAGGTAAGAGTTAAAGAGAAACTGTCAAGTGAAAAAGAGTCCCATTCAATTACATCACATGGGGGTTAGACTAGGTGACCCTTGTGGTCCCTTCTGACCCTATGATTCTATGAAGGCAGACAGCTAAATACTGACAAATTTTGTAAGTACTTGTGTAGAAATGCAAGAAGTATAAATACTTGAGTCTCTGGTATTAAATGAGGCTATTGATACAATAGGCATCACAGAATCTTGGTGGAACCGTGATAATCAATGGGACATGAGAATACCAGGGTATAAAATATATAGGAATGAAAGAGTAGGTCGTACTGGTGGGGGTGTGGCACTATATGTGAAAGAAAGCACAGTGTCAAATATATTAAAAATCTTAAATGACTCAAACTGTACCAGAGAATCTCCAAGGATAGAAATTGCATGCTTGAATAATAAGGATATAGCAATAGGAATATACTACTGGCCACCTGACCAGGATGATGATAGTGATTGTGAAATGCTCAGGGAGATTAGAGAGGCTACAAAAACAGAAAACCCTGGAATAATGGGGGATTTCTACTATTCTCATATTGACTGGGAACATGTCACCTCAGAATGGGATGCAGAGATAAAATTTCTAGACTCCATTAATGACTTCTTCTTGGAGCAGCTAGTCCTGGAACCCACAAGGGAAGAGGCAATTCTTGATTTAGTCCTAAGTGGTGCACAGGATCTGGTCCAAGACGTGAATATAGCTGAACTGCTCAGTAATAGCAATCAGAATGGAATTAAATTTAACATTCTTGTAGGGTGAAAATAAAAGAAACCCACCACAGTAGCATTTAACTTCAAAAAGGGGAACTACACAAAAATGAGGAGGCTAGTTAAACAGAAATTAAAAGGAACAGTCACAAGACTTAAATGCCTGCAGGCTTCTTTAAAACACCATAATAGAGGCTCAAACTCCATGTATACCTCAAATTTAAAAAAAAGTAACAGGACCAAAAAACACCACCATAGCTAAACAACAGAGTAAAAGAGGCAGTTAGAGACAAAAAGGCATCTTTAAAATTGGAAGTCAAATCCTACTGAAGAAAACTGAAAGGAGCTTAAACGCTGGCAAGTCAAGTGTAAAGGTATAATTAGGCAGGCCAAAAAAGAATTTGAAGCACAACTAGCAAAGGACACAAAAGCTAACAAAAATTTTTTTAAAAGTAGATCAGGTGCAGGAAGCCTGCCAAACAATCAGTGGGGCCATTGCTTGATTGAGGTGCTGAAGAAGCACTCAAGGAAGACAAAGCTATTGCAGAGAAGCCACATTGATTATTTGTATCAGTCTTCACTGCAGAGGATGTGAGGGAGATTCCCACACCCGAGCCAGTCTTTTGAGGTGACAAATCTGAGGAACGGTCCCAGATTGAGATGTCAATAGAGGTGGTTTTGGAAAAAAAATGATAAATTAAAGTCACCAGGACCAGATGGTATTCACCCAAGAATTCTGAAGGAACTCAAATATGAAATTTTAGAATTACTAACTGTGGTATGTAACCTATTGCTCTCTACCAGGTGAGTGGTGGAAAGCTAATATAATGACAAAGTTTAAAAAAGGCTCCAGAGGTGAACCTGGCAATTACAGGCAGATAAGCCTAACTTCAGCACCAGGCAAATTAGCTGAAACTAGTAAAGAACAGAATTATCACACACATAAATGAACATAATATGTTGGGAAAGAGTCAACACAGAGCTTTTGCAAAGGGAAATCATGCCTAACTCATCCGCTGGAATACTTTGAGAGTGTCAACAAACATGTGCTCACGGGTGATCCAGTGGATATAGTGTACTTGGATTTTCAGAAAGCCTTTAACAGGGTCTCTCACCAAAGGCTCTTCAGCAACATAGGCAGTCATGAGATAAAAGAGAAGGTCCTCTCATGGATCAGTAAAAGATAGGAAACAAAGGGGAGGAATAAATCGTCAGTTTTCACAGCATAGACATAAACAGCCTGGTCCCCAGAGAATCTGTACCAGGGCCAATGCTGTTCAACATCGTCATAAATGATCTAGAAAAAGGGGAAAACAGTGAGGCAAAGTTTGCAATGTTGATAAATGCAAAGTAATTTACGAGGAGTAATGGTCTCAAGTTGCAGTGGGGGAGGTTTAGATTGGATATTAGGAAAAACTTTTTCACTAAGAGGGTGGTGAAACACTGGAATGCGTTACCTAGGGAGGTGGTAGAATCTCCTTCCTTAGAGGTTTTTAAGGTCAGGCTTGACAAAGCCGATGATTTAACTGGGAATTGGTCCTGCTTTGAGCAGGGGGTTGGACTAGATGACCTTCTGGGGTCCCTTCCAACCCTGATATTCTATGATTCTATGATTCTATGAATGCGCACTGGAAACATAACCCCAACTATTCATACAAAATGATGGGGTGCAAATTAGCTGTTACCACTCAAAGAGATCACGGCCTCAGTTATGGAGAGCTCTCTGAAAATATCTGCTCAACATGCAGTGGCAGTCAAAAAAAGCTAACAGAATGTTAGGAACCATTAGGAAAGGAAGAGTTAATAAGACAGAAAATATCCTAATGTCACTGCATAAATCCATGCGCACACCTTGAATACTGCATGCAGTTCTGGTCGCCCCATCTCAAGACAGATATTAGAATTGAAAAAGTACAGAGAAGGGCAAAAAAGAAAATCATTAGGAGTATGGAACAAATTCCATATGAGGCGAGGTTAAAAAGACAGGATTGTTTAGCTTAGAAAAGAGCCCACGAAAGGGCGATATGCTAGAGCAGGGATGGGGAACCTTTTTTCTATCGGGGCGATTGACCCACAGGAAAATCAGTTGCAGGCCACACACAGCCCCGTGGCGGGGGCGGGCATGGAGGCTTGGGGCTTCCCCCTGCAGCGGGGCAAGCAGGCGCTCATGGCTCCGTGCAGAGGCTCGGGGCTTCTCCTAGGCTCTGGGGTGGGGCCAGAAATGAGGGTTTCAGGGTGTGGAAGGGGGCTCCGGGCTGGGGCAGAGGGGTTTGAAGTGTGGAAGTGGGCTCAGGGCTGTGAGTTGGGGGCTGAGGTGTAGAAGGGGGTTGGGGTGCACCGGGAGGGAGTTAGGGTGTGGGAGGGGGTGCCGACTTGGGGCAGAGGGTTGGAATGCAGGGGGGGGGTTCAGGGTGTGGGCTCCGGCCGGGCTGTGCTTACCTCAGGTGGCTCCCGGTCAGCGGTGCAGCCGGGCTAAGGCAGGCTCCCTGCCTGCCCTGACTCTGCGCTGTTCCCGGAAGCAGCCGGCATGTCTGGCCCCTGGGTGGAGGGGACAGGCCGCGGTTCCTGGCCAATGGGAGCTGCAGAGCTGGCGCTGCGGGCAGCATGCAGAGCTTCCCTGATTGCCCCTCTGCCTAGGAGCCTCAGGGACATGCTGGCGAGCTGGCCCTTGTGGCTCTAGCCCGATGGGGGGTGGGGACACTGAGACTTGGGGCTTTCAGCCCATGGTGTGGAGACTTGCTGTGGGCCAGATGAAATGAAGCAGTGTGCCAGATTCGGCCTTCAGACTGGAGGTTCCCTACCCCTGT